TTTAATACATCCACTAACAACTAATCATACCACTTTTTTCAAAGTTAACTATAGTTAAAAAACAAACCAAATAAAAATTAGTTGAATCCATAAACAATCACACTAACATCCTTAAATCAAGCTTCATCTCCAACATATACACAACCTAAATGCAAAGGAAGTTTTCCTCTATCAGGGATGTATAGAGTAAATAATAAGAAAAATAAATGAATTAGCACGAATAATTCGACATAGGAATTTCAAGGGCAAGTTAAATGTCTGAAAGAGGAGAACACAAGGACTGACCTCAGAACACATCATCCATCAGGACAGCCGAAGGGTTTAAGTTGGCCTTCCTGTCCAGAAATTGTTTCTGGTACTGAAAAATGTTATCAAAGTTCAGTCATACTGAGTTGGCTCGTAGCATTGGATCACGACTCCAAAACTTCAAAACGAGTTGAGCGTAAGAACACTTTAGGGGCAAAAGTATTAGATGACGAAATAACCGAGTACATATGTCTGAAGGCAGTAATACAATAATACTTACACGTTGGCCAATATGATACTGAAGAGGTAATCCATAAACCCTTTTCCATGCTAGTTATCAAGTAGAAACAAGATTTACTAATAGCTAGCAGATGTGGACACGACAAAACGTTTGTAGCAGTAGCCCCTTGCCACGTGATAGAATCCACAGAAAATCAAACTCTTGCTAATGCATGTCACTAGGAGAGAAGTGTACCAAACAGCCACACAGAAAGAGTTGAACTATGTGAATAACTCAGCACAATAGATGCATACAAAATCATATGTAAAAGGCTCACTCTTTGCATAAATATGATGATTGAATGTCGAAGAAAGAATCAAGAGATACTTCAAAAAGATGGCATTCATTTTTATAAACATTTCTCAATCCAGAAATCTGTCACTCACACCAACATCGACGAAACAAATCACCAACAAGCAACACGGAACATCATGCTTAGTGACACTATCTACAAAAAGGTTGGTACTGCATAAGACAGACACGGTGAAAGTACTAAACAGAACAAATTGCAACATCATTACTGCAAATTCTTATGTGACACTATCTGACGTAGCTCCAAAATAAGGTCGCAAAGAACCATCAAACGATATCATCACCATTACCATAATGTTAAAACAGATTAAGATTCATGCACAAGAAAATATTCAGAGAAAAGGGAGAAAAGAAATAAAAGGAAAGCAATAACATTTCACCCAACAGAAACGGAGACCTAATAAAGTAATGGTATGAGGAGTTATAAGTAAAGAATTACAAGAAACAAAAAAAAAAGAAATTCAGAACTCAGCTAGTATTTAGATCCATCCTCCCCAAGCGCAATAACCACTTTCTTCAGGATGAATTCAGTAGGCCGGTGTGAATTCTCCACAGCTTTTGATATGGATTGCCATTTTTCGCCGTGCTTTGGTTCTGCTGCCACACACCTGCTCAACACCTCACTCCGAGTCGCCTCAGTACCATGCTCGAGTTCCAGTTTGTAAAACAACGCCCAAAAATCCCCAATATCCGGGCCAAGCTCAACGGCCCTGTTGAACCAAGATCGGGCTTTCTCAACCTTGCCATCACGCCAAAACGTTTTCCCAACGGCAGCAAGAACATGAGGGTCATGGGGCCCACACCTCGTGTATGCGTCCCTGCAGTAGGTTTTTTTACGAGGAGCCATGTCAATAGATTCGGCCCACAGGATGCCACTGCTAGGGCATTCTTGCAGTGCCTTTGCCATTAGTATCTCAGATTCCTTTTTGTTGCCATGCCGGTTTTCAGCCCGGACGGCAGCAAGCCAGAGCTGAGGATTCTGAGGGTTTTTCTTTCTGGCCATGGTTAGGACAGCACGGGCTTTGCTCAGCCCATTTACTTTCTCCTCCAAGCGGGCAAGAGAAAGCCAGAGAGGAACACAATCAGGGCAGTTCTTGATGCCCAACTCATACGTTTCCTTTGCCTTCTGCTCCGAGCCCTGCCTCTCTTCTAGCTGCCCGAGCATCAGCCAGAGTTTGAAAAACCATGGGAAGTGTTTAATCCCCTCGTCCAGCAAACTCCTCTCCTCACCAACATTGCCCAATTCTCTCTCTAAAATTGCCGACTTCATCCAAACCCTTTCTTTTCCTCCCCTCTCACGCGCCTTTGCAAGAATCATCCGGGCTCTCTCGGGCTCATTATTCTCAAACTCCAGCTTAAAGGCCGCAAGCCAAATCTCATCCGAGTTCGGGATCTTCGCATAAGCTTCCTCCAGAATGGCACGAGCAGAGGGGACATCACCAGCTAGCCACTTCTCCTTGGCGCCCATAAGCCACAGAATCTCCGCATGTGGCACATAGGTGACAGCCTCACGCAGCAACTTGTCCAGAGAGTCCCGGCTCCCGTGACTCTTTTCAAGCCGAGCTGCCTTGACCCATATGCTCTTTTTGGTCCTGAAAACAGTAAGTGCATGAGCATAGATGGCCCTAGCTGTCTCAATCGAACCTCTCTTCTCACACTCCTCGGCATCAGCAACCCACGTCCTCTTCCTATCCTCTTCCTCCACCCCAATCCCAACAGTGCAGCGAATTATAGCCCGGCAAGTCGCCACATAACTGCCTCTCTCGGCCGCCTCAGCCTCTTTCATCCACGATTCCCTGTCCATTTGTATAGCCTTAGTTGCATTTTCTATTATCTTTTCGGTGTTCCTATGGTTACTACCGCCACTATTGGCCTCCTCAAGCTTTGCGGCCGTGATCCATATGGCCGGCTCCTTAGGAAGCTTCGACCTGGCCTTGTTCAGCACCTTCTTTGCATTCTCGTACGACTCGAGCCTCGCAAGTGCCAGCCACAGCTCAACGTGAAATGGGCAGCACTCGACCGCCCTCTGCAGCAAGAGACGAGCATCATCCTCGTTCGCGAGCTCCACAACTGCCTTCCACAGCCTCACCGAGTCTGGGACGTGCTCTAGTGCTTTTCTCAACACTCGACTCTTCTTGTCCACGTCATCTCCCTCGAGCTTAGATGCTTGCATCCATAGTTTGACCGATCTGGGGATTGCCTTCACCCCACGTGCAATCACAGCCTTCTTGGCGGCATCATCCACCGAAAGCCGGCAAGCCTCCAGCCACACGTCTTCACTTTTTGGGCACTCCTCACATCCCCTCTCGATCAGCTGTCGGGCAGCACGGAGCTTCCCAGCCACTTCTTCCAGCCTAGCAGCGGCTATCCAGCCATGAGCATGCTTCGGGTTCGTCTCGGTCACCGACCTGAGCAAAAGCCTTGCTTTATTGATATCAGACACCTCAGCATCACTGGTGATCTTCATGCTCTTGAGGTCGGTTAGGTAACCCTTAGGGTCCACCACAGTTTGCCCGGTGACTGAATCGGACAATCTATCCAGCTTCAATGACAGGACGGTTCCTCTCCCCTGGCCAACAGCAGTTAAATCCGTGACAGTCTCAGTACCACCAGCAGCCCTGCTCTTGGGATCTAGTGAGCTCACGTGTTCCCTTTCCTGCTTTGCTTTCTCAAAGAGTGTGGTATCTGGAACCGGGACAAAGCTTTCGAACCTCTTCTTCCTCTTTTTATCAAAACTATTCCTATCACCTATCTCCGGTATGCTATCCCACTCTTGGGCAGAGAGAGTGTGCAATTTTCTCTTCAGGTCGGCAAACTGTTCGGTGATCTTCGGATTCGAAGCACGGTATTTCTCGATTTCCTCTTTCAGACGTGCCTCCCTCCGGTCTTTCCGGCGCGAATCCATCCTCTGATCGATCTCCTCCCACACCGCGTCAGCTGCCTTGTCCTCGTCGTCATACTCGGCGGCGGACGCGAACAGTCCCGCGTCGTTCCCCTCAAACTCGTCAAACTTTTGATTATCACTGAAACCCTTACCTTCAGCTTCTTCCTCTTCTTCGCCCTCCCCAGGGCCCTTCCCGCGGCCCAAGCCAGCGGCAGCGGCCGGTCCATCGCGCAGATCCGGTGCGGCGCGGGCCGGACCAATATCAGAACGGGTGGTGAAGCCCGTGGCGCCACGGCCGAGCCCCGCCACGTAATTCGACGGCGGTTTGGCATTCAAGAAGTCTAACGTACCTCTCGGAGGGACAGGCGGTGGCATACCGCCGCCGGCGCCTGCGGCGTGGAATGGAAGCCCAGTCGACGGGGCTACGACGGTGGTTTTGATGTCGGGGTTACCAATCACCATGTTCGCTTTTTTTTTTTCTTCTTCTTCTCTCAAGTCTCGATTTGGGGATACTATTATGGTGTGAGACTCCCTTTTTGATTGTGTCGATAGAGTGTTCTTCACGCACATCTTGGCCCAGTTTGATTCAATCGCTGGACTTCAAGAAATATTTGGGTTCTCTTTGGCCCAATGAGTATTTTTATACCTAAGATTAAGGCCCACAGTTTTGCACAAAGTAGAATGAAATGATATGACTAATATATTTTATTAATGTTTTTTTTTTAAATAACAATATTCCTCATCTTTTTTATAATACTTTGAACATTATCTTATGTATAATATGAAGTCAAATTCGTTTGTTTAGTTTCCAATTTCACGCCTTTAAAAGTCAATTTTTGTCTTTTCAAATCTTTTGATAGTTCTTTTTTTTTTTTTCCTCTGTCTCCTTTATTTCTCTCTTTTGAGTCATTCTATCATCATGTACGTCTCGTATTTGTCTCGTACACGCATAACAACATGTATCCCTTTAATTAATGTCATGTGTCTTAATTCTTAATCAATTAATTAAAAAGTCGAAAAAAATCTTGTGTAAATACTAAACTAACCTTGCTTAGAACAAATTATAAATTATATTTATGTAAAATGAAGAAGAAAATTGCCCCAAAGCTCAATTTTCTTGAAGCACCCAAAACAACCCGAAGGCGAAGAAGAAGAAAGCGAAGACAACTATCAAATTTGGCCTCCTCCGGCACAAAAAAACAAAGAAAAAAAATAACCAATCTTTTTCGGCGAAGTGGCCGTTAAGGCGAGCACGACGGCTCGATGATGGCAAAATCCCTAGCTAACAACGTCAAAATCGAGTCGGATTCCAACGCAGAGCTGGAATCCCCTTCGGCCCACAAGTTGCAGCATGGCCCGATAACCCTCAAATCCTCCTCCAAGCGCGTCAACGACGAGGAAGGTCGAATCCGGTGATGGGGAAGGGACGGCTAGAAGCCGAAGACCGCCACACTGAAGAACTTGAGACGCGACGAATCAACTAGGAATGTGACTGTTGAAACTGTTATGGGACAAATCGAGGTATTCTAGAATAGTAAGTTTTGCTTAATTCACTTGGGACCTGTCGAGACAAATTATTACTTGAAAGATTAAGCAACTTAAGCCTCCCCCAGTTACCAATATTCGATGATAGTTCGCCAGTTAAAGCATTATTCGAAAGGTCTAGAGACTCCATAGGTGGAATAGTAGGAAGAAGCAATAGCCCACTCGTATGAGAGTCATCGATAGGAATTGGCCAAGTCAAATGATTATCGGACAAGTTCAGATTTGTGACGGTGACCGAAGTTAAGAAGTTATGGGAGATTTGGCCATCAAATCTGTTGTAGCTCAGATCTCAATGTTAAAGACAATGGCCCCTCTAAGGAGTTGTTTCAAATACTGAGCAAAGTCAATTTTTTGAAATGAATCATACTGGGAAGGCTTCCCCTCAAGCCATTGGAGCTCAAGTCTAAAGCTTCCAGGACCTGAAAATGTACAACGTAGAGTTTACAATTCCTAGAAAGGCCGGAGCCAGCGGCGAGGAAGGCCAGAGCCAGCGGCCAGAGAGGGACGGCAAGAAAACAAGCTGCTACCAAGAAAGAAGTTTGATGATAAGATGCATGTGCTTGCCCCGTTTCAATTGGCAGTCCCAATTGAACTCTAAATTTAGGATGTTGATCATATGATTATATCGTTGACTCAGGACATGGATGTCGGTGTCTTAAAGAGAATTGTCCAACCAAAAGGGGCCGTAGTCACCGTCAAGGGCGCCTGATCTGCCAGTCTCCATCACTCGGTCGAAGAAGAAATCACGGGTTAAGGAATAAAAAAACCAACAAGCTAAAACACAATTACTTCTGAACATGGCCATGTTTTGATCTGTAAAGAGTGACAAACCATACATCTCGATCATAGAAAACAGCCATAATTTTCAAAGTTTCCAATCATTGAGTTACAAAAGATTCAAAGTCCAAAATAAGATTTTCTTCCTGCTCTCAATATCACATTTGCTCGCCCACGACAGTGCCCTAACTACGCCAGTAAAATTCTGGTCAAAACCGTGGCCTTACAGGGTTTACTTACCCAGGTCAGAAAACCATAGTAAAAAAAATAACTTATAGCTACAGATTGGCATCTCCCAATACAGGGATTATAGCCAGCCCACAACTCAGCCTCAAAAGAGCCAAGATTTTTACTTTTTAGGTTCCCTTAACAGTGAAAACCAGTGCATAACTATTTTGTTAAAGTCCCCCCTCCCGCTTTCTATATATGTATAAAATTAAGAAAGCAGCTAACGATGAACGAGCAGTACCAAGCCAGAAAGATGCCCTAACATTTGGTGGCAACATTGCTTAGTTGACCATCATATGATCAAATCCGGCCCCAGCTTGCATGGCAGCAACCCTAGGCCCTTGTACATTGTGAAGCAACTGTTGTAACCACCTTCTCGTAGTTGGGTCTTCCTGAAAATACACTCTTCAGATGAGCCTTCTACCCAGTAAATGTAGGGATTTTTATTAGTATATGGTAAAATATTCACACTTACACGGAGGCAGCTACTAAATGTTGCATCTCTAAGCATGTCAGGTAGACAGCTTCTCAGGGCATCACATGCTCTGTACAATTTATAAAAATAAAAAAATTGCACAAATATGAAACAGTCAAGGCAGGATAATTAGGAAAGCCACCACTGATCATTAAAAAGAAAATTATATTTCGCGATAACAATAATCCTGCGAGTTGGGAATATACTGAGTATGTTGTATGTATGTATGTTGTATGTAAGAGGGATATTTAGAGAGGTATTATCTAGATTTAGCTGTGTGCAGTGACCAACCTTGGATTATCAGATAATCGTAGATAGCATCTGATTATGTGCTTCAAAAGACGGGAAGAAGGCTGCTCAGCAAGTGCAGCAACCATGTTCCCCAGCACTCTACCTACAGCAAAGAACCGCTCGGCTGTGGTGCATATATATTCTAAGCCCACATCGTCAAGCAAAATTTTCTGCACAATGAATGTTGCCACCTGCCACACAAGCGATAACTATAAAAATGCTGAAAAGGAAAAGGATGAAGAGAAAAGGAAATATTAGATAATAAAAGCTATTTAACCGCAAATTGACCAAGCCAGTGGAGCAAAATACACTTCAGTGTCCATTCAGAAAACCATAACACTCTTGACTCATGACAAAAATTCCAGTTAATAAAATATTCTGAAACGTTAATCACTTTAGTTTATCAATGACATATGAAGTTTTCAAAATTGAGGACCATATTTTCGGCTTATAATTGGTGGTAACTGGAAATAAAATTCAGTACTATACAAGAGAAAACTATATTTGATGCTTTGGGGCACCGCCATTTGATAACACTGACCTAGACACACAGTTTGTACCAAAAATTATGGACTCAAGTACAGTGTTGGACACATAAGATTCGGTGTTAAAGATGGAAGAACTTCAGAACACTAAAAGCCTGAAGAAAAGTCGGTTTCATAGTCATTCTAAGCAACCAACAAGTTGGGAGCAACCAACAAGTTGAGATTTCACTTGTATTTTATGGTAAATGGCATACGTTGTAATGATACCAAGTCAGAAAAACGAGCATTAACGGCAAAAAAATACTCCAAAAAACTCAACTGTCTTTGACAATTCACTTCCCATCTCCATTGTGCGCAAACATAACGGAATGATCTCAGTAGAAAGAAGGAAACTGATAACTTCGGTATCATCAACCTATGTACCAAGAAAAAAACAAAAATCTCACACTTCTGTCCAAACAGGAAGCAGTGAAGAAAAGAAAAACAAAACAAGTGGGGCCCAATGATTGATAATTCTCATGCAGGGAAATATTGAAGCACTAAAACCTAAGTCTTACTACATGCCACACAAGAAAATTGAGAACACGCACAGATATGAAGGGTAATATCCAAATTAGACAATACTAATGAAATTCAACAAGGTTGCAAACTAAACATTAGCCACAGCAAAATTCTGTAGCTGATGGAAGATGTGGTGACCCTATATTTGCCGCTTACCATAAATGAAACATAATCATATCTAAATCAAACACCTCAAAGATCATGGAATCCGGGTAGTGCAATGCTAAACTCCAGTCCAGAATGAGAACACGATGTGCTAAGGATGTCATTTGAGGCAGTCTTCTGATATTTGTATATGTATGTGGAAATGAGGATATGTATGAAGACATGCATGAACGCATCGGTGGTGGGCAGACAAAGAAGCTGGAATTCATTTGGTCCCCAGCACAACCATTTTCTATTTTTTAAAGGCATCAAATTACATTTCCACAGCAACTTCTTTTGGTATCGATAATAATTGCCTACTTGTAACTTTATTTTTGCGAAAGCATAAAACTTCGATCCAAAGAGCTTTACAAGTCATGGCTGAAAAACTAGAAATATCATAGAGCAACAAGGAATACCTTGACCAAAGCACCTATGACGCCTAAACTCGTAAGCCTCAAATACTCGAAGGGCCTTGATTTGCTTGTTGTATTAAGAAAGGGATATAGGTAAAGAGGTATGTGGGCTGCAAAAAGGAACACTGCGTGAATAACTCATACTCAAGGAAAGGCTACAAGTACAAAGGAATGTGGACTGCAAAAGGCCACCAGAATCAGCTAAGTTTTCTCCAACTTAAATCATATTCTGCTAATAACTACAGGAAAGAACTACATGTTCATGCAAGCAAGAAAATTACCATTGAGGAACAACATTCTCGTGTCAGGATGTGAAGCCACACACTGCAACAAAATGAAAACAATGTCAGTGGTTTAGCGCAAGACAGGTGCAATCAAATTTCCTTACTCTTAAATTTATTCAAAGACAGCCTAAAAGAAACAAAAATGGTAAAGAACAGACAATCTAGTGTTCTTGACAAGAGTTTTTCTATTTATACATGGTCTGAAAGAAATCCCTTGTCACAAGCATTATAAAATAAAGATTAGGTCGTGTGGTGAAAAAAAAAAAAAAAAAAAA